TTTGTTATTGAATATTAGAGATTTTGCAGATATATTTTTTATAAATATATTGTTTAGATTTACTTATATCTTTCTACCCCTTTTATAGAATAGAATAGAAAATCTCTTAATTGTCCCACAATGGGCAAATTTACAGCAGCAGAAAGATTATTGAAAATGTGGACCTTAGAAAAATGTTTAAAAATAACATAATAGGGAAGAGTTAAAATATAAAAAATAGAATTCTGTAAAGTGTTTTAACAATATAAAACTGGGGAATAAATAACCAATATGCAGCTATGGACATTTTTACAGTAATGGATATTTGAAAATAGTAGCAACATCAGAGATGTGCAGAATGACAGCAGCATTTTATTTATCTGACTAAGGTTTCTATCATTACATTTGATTTTATTTGTTCCTGCTCCCGGTGGTTGGAACCTTTATTCCACTCTGGATTCTAAGGAATGTAGTCTTTGTTCACTTTACAATAAAAAATAAATAAATAAACAAACAGTTTTGAAAACTTCGGTATAGGGCTTTGTCGTCATGATGTAAGCACTTTGCGTCGCCGCCATCTTGAAGGCCTCTTTTACAGCTGCTCAGACTACTGCCTATGACTACTGCCAGTGTTGGGAAAGTTCTCTTTCTACGTGAACTAGTTCAAAGTTCAGTTCACACATTTTAAAATGAACTAGTTCAGTTCATAGTTCACAATTCCAAAAAACGAACTAGTTCATAGTTCTTTTTTTTCATTTTTTTTTTTTCATATTTTGCTCAATTACACCATAGCCTACTGTAGAACCACAGACAGCAATTATTTTATCAGTTGTAACTCTGAAACTGTGCGTCAGATTTCATCTTCATATCTAGTTTTGAATCCTTATCCAACCAGGGTTTACATTAGCATTGAGGGGACAGCATTTCCCCATTGTTGCTTTAACACTTTGTTGCTGTCCATTCACTTCACACTAGTAGCAGCTGCAGCTTTCACCCCTACAGTATATTCTCAAAAACATCAGGAAAAATGTGCTGCTTGAATGGTCTTTTTTATGAGTAATTATTAAAAGAAAAATAGGAAAGTAGTCTTTAAGGTGCAAATGTTTTTTTTTTATTTTAATAATTTTTTCCATTTGAAATTCCATTTTAATACATACTAAAAAGGAATACTGGAAAATATACCAGGCAGGTTTAACAAACAAGTTACATGGATAGTAAAACCCTCAAGAACAGGGGTCTTCTATGTTTTCCAGACCAAGGACCCCCAATCTGAGAGAGATGGAGCGGGGACCCCCTATTTATATATATTGTATGAAATTGTGTCCTATAGTCACTCTATTACAGATGGAGTAATGTAAAGAAAATAATTTCTCCCTGGGATTATTAAAGTTTTTCTGATTCTGATTCCTGGTTGTTGTGAAGGAAACGGTGCCCAGCTTGAAAGAGCTCCTGTGTGTCGCTGAATGTGAGCATTGATGACTGAAAGACATCTTTTGTCTCCATTTATCTGTTTACTACAGTGTGTTGATTTCATGTTAATGAGTATTTAAAGACATTTCAATTAGTGGGGAAAAAAATGCAGGGGGGGAATATAAAAATATCAACTAACCATGCAGACCCTCATGCAGTACCTCCGTAGACCCCCTAGGGGTCGCGGATCCCCTGTTGAAGACCTCCGCTCAAGAAGATTTTACTAACACAAACTGAGGGACCAGGCTGAGGTAGGAATTTAAGGTTACTGAAGTGCGGATTTTTTTACTGAAAGCCGGCGGGCAAACTTGTTGCCATCATCCTCACCGACCACCTGGTCATAAACCTGTTTTAAGTCGCCTCCATGCTGCTGTAGCTTCCACGCTGCATTTTGTTTTGATGACGCACGCGGCTGTAGGCTACGACGCTGGTAGCTGCTGTTGCCAGATTGGGTGTTTTTCCCGCTACATCACACCCCGGTGTGATTTAGCCGGGGTTTCGCCTGGAGGGCTTTATAGAAATCTGGCAACCTATTGAACGGAGTTGAACTGAGAGAGCGTGCTGTTCACAGACACCAGAATGAACGAGTTCACAATAACGTTCACCAGGCAGTAATGCAGTACGTTCAGTTCACGTTCGCCCAAAATATGAACGAGTTCATGAACTTTCGTTCAATGAACGCGTTCAGGCACAACACTGACTACCGCGTACTGTACCCCCTCTCAGCCGTGTTTTAATTTGATTAATTTCACCTTAACTTGATTTCAACCATGGTAAACAGTTGCTGTATTGTGGGCAGTAACAGCACAACACATGATCGAAACGGGAAAAACATAGAAAATCGGTTAACTTTCCACCGCTTTCCTGCCTGGAGGCGCAACCACGGAGACCAAGTGTCTGCTAGCTTGGATCTCGGCTGTAAGACGGCCGAACATAACTTTCCATCATAGACAGGTTCAGATATTACAGGCTAACGATGGAACTAACGACCCATTCATCGGTTACCATTGCATGTTTCCAAGCGATACAAGGCGTTGTCTATATAAGACTCAAACTCACTGCGGATCCAGACATTTGAATTGAGAAAGCTTCCTGGAGAGGTGGCGAAACGTCTTCAAATCTTGAAAACCAAGTCCAGTGGATATTTTTCGAATTTTTACGGAATAACTTTCCACAGTATTCCAATGTCATTGAGAGTGTGTTCTCTGCATTTTCATTCTGGTAAGTTAAAGATGCACGGTTTTATTTTATAGCCTACAGTGTTTCTTTCCTTCAAAGTTGGGATCTTTTACGGGTAAATAATAAAAACGGCAGCGGGAAAAGGCTCAAATACGTGAGAAACCCGGATGGTTCAGGGAGGGTTGGCAGTTAACGTTACTAACTACATCTTTGAAACACATAGCAGCTAGTTAAAAGTACATTACATGCATGAGTGGTTGTTAGCACTAGCGGTTAGCAGTTACTAAACTAGCAGGTTCCAGAGTCCGTCTGAGCACAGCTTACTTTGTACGGATTACTGTGTTCCCACTGTTTGCTGGCTTTATGATGTGCAGCTCCTGAACCCATCCATTCATGAACTGCATATGAGACTCCAAGGACTTGTAGCTTCGGAACTGTTTTGAAGTATAGGCACTCGCTCATCGGTGCTCCACTCATTGTTTGGAACTTCATATGGATCCAAATGATTAATAATGCTGATTTTGTCAACATACCGGTCCCTGGCTTCTCTATTTAATGTGTCCCGGTAAATTCCAGATCCTTTTTGGGATTTTAACATCTTTTTTCTCTCTACTGTACTTCTACGTCTCTTCTTTCAACAACAATGTTGTATCAGAGCTATGTTTACGGTTGCTAAGCAACAGAGCATATGCCGGTAAAACCTGCCGAAGGGTAGACCTGTTCGAATTCACAGCCAAAACTCTTCCGGTCTCCTTATTTTCAAGGACTTCGAAGGATCCAGTCTAGGTAGACCGAGTCCTTGGAGGATACAGCCCAGGTTTTCGAACAGAGCCGGAGAATGTGGGATTTCGGGGTCTGTCAGCGCTCCGCTCCGCCCCGCTGACGTACGTCGTGCAGCGCGCTTGTCTTTCATTTAAATCAATGAGATCTGTTCCACATCCACCGCTACTCCTCCGCACGTCTCTGTCCACGTACGTCTTCTCCGTCCGTCACCGACAAAATACGTAGCCGAGCTATTTTTTGCTCCGCTCCGGTCCGGCCAGGTCAAGATCTGCAATTACAATCGCACCAATAAGTAAAAAGAACATCGAGAAATTCCGGTTTGTCAAATTAAAATATAGTAGCGCCAGATCGGTAACTAGAAATTAGAGCATAATTCTTATATATTCCAAAAAAACGAACTCCGTTTATTTAAATGATTGGATGCAAACTATTGGTTATTCACCAACAAGGAAGCAGATTTCTCATATCCATCAAAATATTTATTTTATACCGAGGGACTTAAAGTTTAATCAAATCCAGTCAAAAGAAACTTCTTATTGCAGGAATGGATGAAGAGATGCTGAGTTTGGGAGTAGAGAACAAACAACTTTCATTTAAAAAAAAAGCAGTTTTGAATGATCCTAGTTATCCCCGTTACAAAAATCTACAACAAAAAAATATTTGGGCAGAAACTGAACATATGCTGGATGATGGTGGGATGGGATGATGGGATTAATTCGTCATATTAAATTAAGCGTTCACAGGGTTTATACAGGAATGAGTGACTCTAATGCTATTTTAATACTATTAGAAATTATTTTAATGCCATCAACAAGAACCATGTACATAAGTTATTAGTGTACATGAAATATGAAGGAGCTGTAAGCACAGTTCCATGACTCTATATATGTATGTAAACATATATAGCTTTTTCTCCGCCTCGAGCTTCCTTTCCGAACAAAAGGCTTTATGATCAGTTCCACGCAAATTAATCGCGATTAATATATCTGACGATGATTAAAGAATTATAAATGCCATGATAAACATATTTAAAGAAACTACACGCTTATTCAATAAATGCCTTTGAATATATACTGTATGTGTCGCCTGAATTCTGGCCTCTATGTTCTGATCCTGCTGACACATTTCCTCTATTAAGTTTTGTTTCCCTGTTATAATAGTCCTTTATCTCAAATATTCCTAAATATAATGCTTTTACCTTCAATGATTAAAAATGTATTATTAAATTACATCTAGTCAGAATGATTCATTAGAAGTTAAATATTTGTCAGAACTGAAGAAGGATTAAAAAGTTGAGTCAGATTCAGCTGACAGTTTCTGTTCTCATTTGGTATGAGGCACTTGGACTATAAACCTGTTTGGACTTGCATCAGACTATGGAGTAAAGAATAGGTAAATATATTTCCCTATTCCCTCCCTGTCAGGATCTTGCAGTGCCATTGGCTGCAGTGGCATGCTGAGGTCTGTTTCTGTTTTGAAAAAACGAAACTCAACCCTCCCCGTTGGTAAGGATGGGTGTTGCCCATCTCAGTTACTGTATTAACAAGGCTGCTTCTGCTATAAGCGAATAAAACCAACACATCCTTTTTACTGAGAGGCACAATGGCTCGGAGAGAAGTTCAGCTAAACAGAGCAAAATTCTCCTGCACTATCTGTTTGGAACTATTGACTGATCCTGTGACTATTCCCTGTGGACACACCTACTGTATGAAATGTATTAAGACCCATTGGGATGGAGAAGATCACAGGAGAATCTACAGCTGCCCTGAGTGCAGGAAGGAGTTCAGTCTAAAGCCTTTTCTAAAACCAAATGTCATGTTGTCTGCTTTAGTGAAAGACCTGAAAAAGACTGGACCCCAAGCTGCTGGAGCTGATCACTGCTATGCTGGACCTGAAGATGTGCCCTGTGATGTCTGCACTGGGAGGGAACGAAAAGCTGTCAAGTCCTGTTTATTGTGTCCTGCTTCCTACTGTGGGGATCACCTCCAGCCTCACTATGACGCTCCACAATTGAAGAAGCACAAGCTGGTGGACCCTTTCAAGAATCTCCAGGAGATCGTCTGCTCTCGTCATGATGAGGTGATGAAGATCTTCTGTCGTACTGATCAGCAGTGTATCTGTTATCTCTGCTCAATGGATGAACATAAAGGCCATGAAACAGTTCCTACTGCAGCAGAAAGGACTGAGAAGCAGAAGGAGCTCCAGGAGAGACGACAACAAATCCAGCGGAGAATCCAGGAGCAAGAGAAAGATGTGAAGCTGCTTCAGCAGGAGGTGGAGGCCATCAATGGCTCTGCTGATAAAGCAATGAAGGACAATGAGAAGATCTTCACTGATCTGATCCGCGTCCTTCTGACTAGAAGCTCTGATGTGAAGCAGCAGATCAGATCCCAGCAGGAAACTGAAGTGAGTCGAGTCAAAGAGCTTCAGAAGAAGCTGGAGCAGGAGATCACTGAGCTGAAGAGGAAAGATGCTGAGCTGGAGAAGCTCTCAATCACAGAGGATCACACCCAGTTTCTCCAGAACTACCCCTCACTGTCAGCACTCAGTGAGTCTACACACTCATCCAGCATCAATATTCGTCCTCTGAGATACTTTGAGGATGTGACAGCAGCTGTTTCAAAGCTCACATGTAGATTAGAGCACATCCTGAGAGACAGATGGACAAACATCTCACTGCTGTCAGAACCAGAACCAAAGACTAGAGCTGATTTTTTGAAATATATACGAGAAATCACTCTGAATCCAAAAACAGCAAACGGATTCCTGTCATTATCTGAAAGGAACAAAAAAGTAATACTACTGAATCAAAAACAGTCTTATCCTGATCATCAAGACAGATTTAACGATTGTCATCAGATCCTGAGTAGAGAGAGTCTGACTGGGCGCTGTTATTGGGAGGTGGAAAGGAGAGGCGTAGTTAGTATAGCAGTTTCATACAAGAATATCAAGAGGTCAGGAAACTCGGACGAAAGTTTATTCGGCTACAACAAAAAATCTTGGACTTTAAGTTGTGACATCAAGAGCTACATATTTCATCACAAAAACATTCAAACTCCAGTATCAGGTCCAGTTTCCTCCAGAATAGGAGTGTATCTGGATCACGGAGCAGGTATTCTGTGTTTCTACAGCGTCTCTGAAACCATGACTCTCCTCCATAGAGTCCAGACCACATTCACTCAGCCTCTATATGCTGGGATAAGATCTTCCTTTAAAGGATCCTCTGCTGAATTTCTTAAACTGAAATAGCCACAAGTGATCTGTGGTCCAACTGGTTAAAATGTGCATTTTAATTCCAGTTTAGTATCCATACTTGAGCTAATTTTTGTAATTTAGTTTAGACATTAACTGTATTTTATGGAGCTACTTTATCATCTTGTATGTTGTTCTTTTTTTTCATGTTGAGGTGTTGTCCCTTCCTGTTTCTGGTTATGTATATATTTGTAAATGTTAGGGTAAGGGTCTGGGTTAGGCCATATAAAATGATTGTAAGTCAATAAATTCTCCCCATAAGTCATGTAAACGCTTGTTTTACCTGCAACGTAATGACAATATTTTGTAAAATATCCTACCTGTGGGGAATTACAGGTACACATGAGGACATTCAACTGGTCCCTATATGGAAGAGTTCTGTCCTGTGTGCGTGTGTGGGTGTGAGTCGGTGTGAATGTGGAGGTTAGCTGGTTGGTATTGTTTGCCATTTTTGCTGTGGTCGTTTTTTAATATCGAAAATTGTTTGTCAGAATACTGATATTTGCCTTCAGCCTGCCATCCTGACAACAACACCACTAGAAATCAGTTCATCAACTATAAAAATACTTTTTTTTTTCTTGTTAAGTCCACCAGGCTTGTGTGGTGGTGTAGCATTAAAGGAGACCACACAAGGTGTTGGGTTTATTCAATGATGATTATAAAATTAATGTGTGCTTATGAAACATTTGTGCAAGGGAATGCTCCACTGTGTCTCATGATCCAGTCAGGAGACCATCCTGCCTTGTCATTCTGATGGAGCCTTCTGCCTTCATGAACTGATCAATTGTTCTATCAGAACAATACTCTGTTTGTAACCATGTGTCATGTTCTGTTAATAAACGCTCTGTAGAGGAGGTCCAGTGGGAGACAGTGCATTTGAGTCTGGGGTTCAACTGTCTCTCCTTCCTGCAGGAATTGTATCGATAAGTCTGAATTTCAGTTCTTCAATCGTGTATTTCAGTTCTTCTTTAGAAAAAAAACTACATTTTATGAACCCGACACAAGGATTTTCTGATTGCGTTTATTAAATTATCTTAAAGAAATAAAAAACTGAAAGGAGAATACCTAAAATAATAATAATAAAATAGATCAATGCAAAGAACATAACTAACCAGACTTAACAAAACCCAACCAAACCAATACAAACCAAACCAAATGGGGTATGTTGCATGCATAGCAGCTTTAAAGCAACAGAGCACCAATCAGTGCAAACATAACACCTGCAGAGGGCCTGCCTCCCGAACCCCACAAGGAAAACTGGCACCCAGTGCAGCCGTAACATTGTGCTTTTAGCAGTCTTTGATGCTGACGACAGATTCAATCATTCAGTAGCAGACTTTAGAAGAACAAGCGATGGTGGGGTTGGATATGCTTGATCAAAGCTGCGAGAAGAAATGCAGAATGGGACACCTGACGTGCCTCCCAGTATTGGTCTACCTTATATACCTCATTAGGATCATATAATACTTTTTTATGGTGGATGATGCAGCCTTTCAACTAAAGCCATATCTGAAGAGAGCACACCTGGAACAAACCCTTTTTTCAACTGTCACTTCCAAAAATCATGGCTTACAATATTTTGTGGACTCCCAGGGGACTAATGTTTAATGCAGGATGTAGACTTTGTAAAGTTATTAATACATATGTAAGTAGATCTGATTTGTGTGTGTGGCTTTTATTGCAACTATAGATGAATAATATTTTAATACTGTATTTTCCACATGTTTAAATGAAAAGTAGTAAAGAAATACGTGTTATTCCTCTTGTCTTGTCTTTTGAGAGCGGAGGATTTTAAAGTGTGTTTATAAGGAATGAATATGCCCCTGTATCTTGCTTTGTTTAGTACTTAACATAAAGTATCACAACTGTTGATAATACATTTTAAACCAAAAGATGTTAAATGGCAAACCTGCCTTTTTATTATCTGAAAAATATATAGCTGATATTAATTAATAGGGTCAAATTCAAACTTTTAGCAAATGCAAACAAAATTTGAGGAAACAAAATTACGAACTTCATTGTTATTCATGTACAGCATAGAAAAAACAATAACAAAACAGATGACAGTTGAACTATACTTTAAAAAAGGTTTTATAAATTTCTCATACATAGTTACATGACTCTGGTTAGCTAAATTAAATTGGGTTAATTGTTACATGACCCTTTTAAAGTACAAGGTAGCACATACAGCACTTGATACGGGGCAAAAATAATAAGTTGATATGATAATAATTTATATTATCATATCAACTTTCAGCCCATGCTTTCTTTTTCTGGTGTTATTTTCATAAAAGGAATGCAAGGTGCTGTTTAAAATGGCGTCTTTTTCCACCTCAAAAATAACATATCATCCATGATGTCAAATACAATTAAGCTCCTAGGTAGTTTGCTGCTAGGGCAGCAGGTAAAATGACAGTCTGAGCATGTAGTCTTTTGCTTGTATAGTCAACATGATACTTTGCTTTTCATCAATTGACTTCTAGCCTGAATGATCTTCTCTTTTCCAGCTGGTGTGGCAAGCAGCCAAAATTATAGCAGCCAGATATTGTAGAAAAAGCGGTGATTGTCACTGCATCTAGAACATCAGAAACACAGTGAGGCATCCAGTGGAACCACTCTGATTGACTAGAGTTGCTGCAATCAGCTACTATGAAGGTATACTGTATGTGCAGTGAAGCCTTTATTTAGCCAAATTACACAGAACTTTAGAAACATACAGGTACATTCAGGTTCTGCTGAATATCAAAAATTATTTTTGGAATTCCTCATTCAGTCGCAGCTATTTCCCAATTATTTATTGGGAAATAGCTTTACTCATATTTACTCATCTATAGTTAATACAAAATAACAAATTTTGAATTTAACCAGTACAATAAGCAGAAGAATTTAGAACAGAAAAAATATAAACACCAAAATGAGAAATTCATCTGTTTTACGTACAAATGCTTCTTTAAAAAAACAAAACCAATATTTTTCAAAACAAAAAACAACATAAAGCCCCTTTGATGCTTTATATGTCCCTGGTATTTACACTTTGATGGCAAACATCGGTTCTCAAACATAAAATACATGCAGAACTGTAATATCTTTGCTTCATTTTCTTGTTTTTTGTCTTTTTTCCTTGTGTACATAGTAGCTTACTTTAGTTTAGTTTCACTAGTTTTACTCAGGAGTGTTTAACTGAAGTATGTTTAACTTGGGGCTGAATAATTTTTCATAATAAACTCATATGTGGAACAAAAGTTATGGTGAATTTATTCTATATATGTGCAGGGTTGATTCACACTTTCACTTGTTCTAACAAACAGCCATTTGAGACAGAACAATATATGACATCACAAATTTTATTTGATTAAATAACACATTTGCCACCCAAACTGGGTTTAGCATTAAATATATCATAATTGCACAACATATACTTCGTTTTTTTTCAGTCAAACATATACTTTCATTCTTCTCCACTTTAGATATTCTCTAATGCATTATTATTTTATATTTGAAAAATGTTTTGTTTTGACAATAGAGTTGTAGCTTTAACCTTTAACAACCAAAACATCTATAAAGCCACATAACTGATCAGTATAAAAATTGAAACCAGGATCACCTTAAAATCCAAACAGATTTGACTGATTTCTATTATTTTTTATAAGTTTAAACATATACAGCAGAAGATTGTTGGATATAATAAATCACTTTAATGATCTGATAAATTTTCTAAAGAAAAGAAGATATTGTAAACCCTAAAAAATGTAAAGACATTAATAATCTCCATCAATCTGATTAAGACCTAAATGCTGTAAAAGACCAATTTTCTGCTACTTTTATAGTTATTTCTATTTGGTCTAAGATATGATCTTTGTACAACAAACTAATTAAAAATGTCTTGATTTACTATTATTATTATAATAATCCCTGTTTCCATCAGCTTATCTGTATATGGATTTGAACATTTGGTCTGACAAAGAAATAAATGTCAAAAAAGTTAGTTTAGGTTAATAAAAATCCTCCATAAAATGATAAATTCAATGGCTAAACAAAAAGAGGCAGCATTAAACAAAAATCAAAGATAAAAACAAATTACAACATCAAATGCTGATGAAGGTTCTCAGTCATCCAGGTCATAGTCATTCCGTAAAAATTAAAAAAATAGTTGCATTGCTTTCTCAATTAAAAAAAAAATTGAGAAAGCTTCCTGGAGAGGTGGCGAAACGTCTTCAAATCTTGAAAACCAAGTCCAGTGGATATTTTTTGAATTTTTACGGAACAACATCAAATGAATTTTGGAGCAGTGCAGAAATACAAAGATAAGCTCTCAGCAGTAATGATGGAGACTACAGAAGATGGAATGGAAGTTACATTTAACCAACTGGACCGCAGATTACTTCTGTCTATTTCATTTTAACAAATTCAGCAGAGGATCCATAAAAGAAAGGCCTAACCCCAGCATATAGAGGTTTAGTGAATTTGGTCTGGACTCTATGGAGGAGAGTCATGGTTTCAGAGACGCTGTAGAAAGACAGAATACCTGCTCTGTGATCCAGATACACTCCTATTCTGGAGGAAACTGGACCTGATACTGGAGTATGATTGTTATTATGATAGAATATGTAACTGTTTGTGTCACAATATAATGACCAAGATTTGTCATTGAATCCAAACAAACAGTCATCTGATCTTCCTGCTCTTCTGATATTCTTGTATGAAACTGCAACATAAACTCCTCCTTCTTTCCACTCCACCTCCCAGTAGCAGCGTCCAGTCAGACTCTCTCTGCTGAGGACCTGATTATAAACAGTGAACCTTTCTGGATGATAAGGATAAGACTGTTGTTGCTTTGTTGCTAGAACCTTTCTATTACCCTCAGATAAAACCAAATTTCTGTGTGCTGTGTTGAGATCCAAAATGATATCTTGTGAATATTTTAGGAATCCATCTTTAGTATTAGGTTCTGGTTCTGACTGTAAAACATCCACTTCAGTGACTGTCAGTAAGATGTTGGTCCATGTGTCTCTCAGGATGTCCTGTAGTTTCTCTCTGAGCTCTGACACAGCTGCTGTCACATCCTCAAAGTATCTCAGAGGACGAATATTGATGCTGGATGAGTGTGTAGACTCACTGAGTGCTGACAGTGAGGGGTAGTTCTGGAGAAACTGGGTGTGATCCTCTGTGATTGAGAGCTTCTCCAGCTCAGCTTCTTTCCTCTTCAGCTCAGTGATCTCCTGCTCCAGCTTCTTCTGAAGCTCTTTGACTCGACTCACTTCAGTTTCCTGCTGGAATCTGATCTGCTGCTTCACATCAGAGTTTGTTTTCTGGATCAGACGGATCAGATCAGTGAAGATCTTCTCACTGTCCTTCAATGTTTTATCAGCAGAGCCATTGATGGCCTCCACCTCCCGTTGAAGCAGCTTCACATCTTTCTCCTGGTCCTGGATTCTCTGCTGGATTTGTTGTCGTCTCTCCTGGAGCTCCTTCTGCTTCTCAGTCCTTTCTGCTGCAGCTGGGACTGTTTCATGGCCTTTATGTTCATCCATGGTGCAGAGATAACAGATACACTGCTGATCAGTACGACAGAAGATCTTCATTATCTCATCATGACGAGAGCAAATGTTCTCTTGAAGCTTTTTGAAGGGGTTAACAAGCTTGTGCTTCTTTAATGGTGGAGCATCATAGTGAGGCTGGAGGTGATCCTCACAGTAGGAAGCAGGACAGGATAAACAGGACTTGACAGCTTTCATCTTCCTCCCAGTGCAGACATCACAGGCCACATCTTCAGGTCCAGCATAGCAGTGATCAGCTGGAGCAGTTTGGATTCCAGTCTTTTTAAGATCCTTTACTAATTCTGTCAATATGATGCTTTTTTCGAGGACAGGCCGTGGTCTGAACTCTTTCCTGCACTGGGGGCAGCTGCTGATACTCCTCTGGTCTTCTTTATCCCAGTGGTCCTTGATACAGTTCAAACAGTAGGTGTGTCCACAGGGAATAGTCACTGGATCGTTCAGCAGATCAAAACAGATGGAACAGGATAATTTTCCTATGTCCAGTTGAGCTCCCTTCTCCTCCATTTTAGCTCTCGGTAACACCTGTGTGAGTTTCTCTTCTGTATAACAGGAACTGGTTTGAGCTTTAGTATGAAAATCAGGTTACTGGCTCCACCCATCATTACACTCATAAACCTGAGGAGGGAGGGAATAAGGATACACTTTGAACTGAACACCCTCTACTAACCCTTAAATATGATTTACAATTGTACTTTGTCCTTTTCTAAGTAGTTGATGCCAGTATTCAAATTAATTACATTTTTAATTAGTTGCTACTGAGTAAAAAAAAGCAATCTAAGTTGAATAAAAAACAAAAACATTTAGCAGTGATCAGTTGTTGTACGGAAGAGGATTAGGGCCACAGAAAAAAAAAGAAAAAGTTAACTGATTTTTTTTTTTTTTTTTCAGTATAGTATGGGAAAAAAGTCAGAATTCTGACTTTAATCTCAGAATTCTGACTTTTTTTCTCTGAATTCTGACTTTTTTTATTGTCAGAATTCAGTCAGAATTCTGAGAAAAAAGTCAGAATTCTGACTTTCCCTGTGGAGAAAGGGAAAGTCCCTGCTATGCTGTGTCTTGTCCTTTTCTGAGCTCTCTCTTCATATCACCTGGACTCAAAAAAATGGATCTAGTCTGCTGGTCTCTCAGTGCAATTGATCAAATTTATTCAACTGGAAGACAGGGAAAAGGGGACTCGTCTTGTCCTGCTGGGACTTACTTCGTGGAATACACCATGGACTCCTGGAAAGCATGTAGGATGGGGTGTTTGACAACGTTGTCACTGGAGGATATCAAAGATGTATGGATTTTTGGTGTTATGATACTCTGATTTCTCCTGTTTGGATTTGGAGGACACCTGATGTACCTTCAATTACAGAGGATTTCGGCAGCAATTTGGGCATTGATTAAGCTGCCGGCAGCAGTTGACACCTGTGGAATCATATTTTTCCTTGGCCTGTTTGTGCCATTTCTCTCTTCCTAAATAGGAGGATGCACTCAGTGACTGTCTATAAACTTCCATCTTATCGAGGATATTGCCTGTGGTCAGCGTTCATGGACAAATTGAATGCACTCATCGTACACACACAACTATTGTCTTTATATGTCAGATTGACTTTGTGTGACCAAGCCTCCGATGTGACCCTCTGCTTAAATGTCTGAATGTCCCCTCTCTTCCCTAATGTGGCTCCTATCTTTCCACAGAGACAATGGCAGCTCTAGGTAACCTCCTGGACCTGGGGACCATTTAATTCACCCCCAATGTATGTGGTGTATTGTAATGAACGGTTGTACTGAAACTGTAATTTCCCTCTGGTATTATTAAAGTATGTCTTATTCTGATTCTGAAACTGTTCAGAGGGAGTTTAAATGGGTTTAAATCCCAGCACGAGAATAATCTGGCACTGATGGCTGGTCTGAAGTCTGGTTAAAAAGAGAAGCAGGTGGATTAGATGAGCGGTTATGAGAACTGGGCGGAGATAAGCAGGTGAATTAAATTAGTACAGTGGTCCATGAGCAAATACCCCTAACCTCACACTGCTCTAAACAAGTTGCAGGACCTTTTGATGCGCGTCATCCATTGACTTTCCATGTAAAGTAACTGCTTCTGCTGCCACTACCATGTGCGGTCTAAACAAAGCATTGGCCAGTATAAATTATAGACACAAGTGCAAATTAAAACTAATATTATTTAAATGTGTGGTTATATCAGGTATTTAGCATGTTTATGTCACATCAGCTGCTGTGACCCTCACACCTGTAACCCATCCCCATGATCAGCAGCTGGAGCCATATAAGGGCAGAGCCTTCACCTGCTTGGCATCAGATTGTTGTCTAACCTCAGTGGTAACACCTTCAGGCCATTTCTGTCTGCTCAGGTCTAGTTTGACTAAGCCAAGTTTGACCTCTTCTAACCTGCCTGTTCTTCTGCTTTCTCCAGTTCATCTTCCTGCCTGAATCGCTTGGTGCGACTGTAGCCTTGGACTCCTTGATAACGACCTCCTGCCTGCTTCACACCTGATTACAAGGATAGCCATTAAACACGGCCTGGTGCCACAGACCTGACCACCACCTGCCTGACCAAGAAACTTTAAATAAACTCCATCTGACCCCGCCAACCGCTCAGTTACTCAGTCCATTCGTGCCTGTAGTGTGACAGTTTAGTCATTTTTTCCAGCTTTTTTTATTCCGAGCCACTTGTTCCGGGTTCCTGTGCTGCTTTCTCGGAGGAGACGTCGTCGTCGTCGCGGTAGACGAAGCGGCCGGCTGGTGAAGCTGAAGTTTTACATGATGCACTGTTGTGCTTTTACTCGATCATCGCAAGGATCGTTTCTGGGGCCCCGGGTGACTCGGCGTTTCTTGGATCCCGTTGATGCCTGCTTGGTGCCAGTGGTCGGCGTTGAAGTCCCTCTACACCGCCGCCCCTGTCTTTCCCGGCTCAACATACGCGGACGGTGTCACCAAAACCTGAGACCACTGTGCCGGGTTTCCCGACCCGTCGAAGCCCAGGATCAAGTTCCTGTTAGGATTGGCCTGGTAAACGCCAGGTCGCTTGTGAATAAAACCTTTATTCTTCGGGACTTTTTTAGTCACCAAAATCTGGATTTTCTGTGTGTGACTGAGACGTGGCTGAGTGTTGGTGAGTCCAGTGCTCTATCGGAGCTTTTACCAGCGGATTGTTTTTATTTTAATTCACCACGGGCTTCGGGAAGAGGGGGAGGCACAGCGATTGTTTACAAACAGGACTACAGATGTAAGCAATGTTTTCTACAGACGTCTTTCCCCAACTTTGAGTTTACGGCATTTGAGATGAGACACGTAAACCCAGTTTTTTGTGCTGTCATCTACCGGCCCCCTAAATATAATAAGGATTTTATTAGTGACTTTTCTGATTTTTTATCTGGGATTTTAACTAACTATGAACATGTTCTTATTGTTGGAGACTTCAATATACACGTTTGCTGTCCAAATAAGCCTCTGGTAAAGGATTTTTTAAGCCTTCTGGACTCTTTTAACCTGGTACAGGCCGTATCAGGCCCTACACATGAACATGGACACACACTGGACCTGGTAATTTCCTGCGGTCTGCCTGCGACAAACCTGGAAATCTGTGACGCTGTGTTTTCGGATCACCTGCCTGTTTTATTCACTATTACTTTGACACCTACTGCAGTTAAAACTCGCGCTGCTGCTCGGCGCTGTCGGATTATTAACCCCTCCACTGCCACTCATTTCTCTACTGCTTTTCTTCAACTCTGTGAATCATCTGACTTCCTCCACTTTGATACAGAAGAGCTCTGGTCCTGGTTCTATTCTTCCTATCAAACCATCCTGGACTCGGTTGCTCCATTAAAAACCAGGCACCCCAGGATTAAACCTGAGCCTTGGTTTAATGACAGAACTCGTGCTGCAAGGAAGGAATGTCGTCGTGTTGAACGCAGGTGGAAAAAGGATAAATTGCAGGTTACTCTTCAGATTTTAAAAGACAGTTGGCGTCTCTACCAGAGCACGGTTAAAGAGGCAAAAAGGGAATATTTGGCAAATATCATTGCTTCAAACAGTCATAACCCACGTGTTTTATTTAACACCATTGACTTTGTGCTTAATATTTCTCAGAATGCCTGTTTGGAAGCTTCTCCTGATGTGTGTGATGATTTTATGTGTTTCTTTATTGAAAAGGTTGGTAGTACCAGGGCTCTTATCACAGCTCCTGACTCTGACCCTTCAATTTCAGTCCCTTGCTCGGCTACTTTCAATCAGTTTGAGCCTGTGACTGTCTTACTGTTAGAGGATGTGGTTGGCCACATTAAGCCATCAGGTTCCCCCCGGGATGCTGTGCCTCCACGACTTTTTAAAGATATTTTACCTAGCATAGGGCAGCCTGTTCTTGCAATTATAAATAGCAGTCTGTCCTCAGGTGTGGTCCCTGCTAGTTTTAAACATGCAGTAGTGCAGCCACTGCTTAAAAAACCTGGCCTTGATCCAACTGTTCTGGCTAATTATCGGCCTATTTCGAAGCTGCCTTTCCTTTCTAAGGTTTTAGAGAAAATTGTGTACTGTCAGCTGACACAGTTTTTAGATGACAATGGCATTCTGGAGGTTTTTCAGTCAGGCTTTAAAACTCTTCATAGTACAGAATCTGCTTTAATAAGAGTTTTTAATGACATTCTTCTTGCATGTGATTCTGGTCACCATGTTGTTCTGATGTTACTTGACCTAACTGCTGCCTTTGATACAGTAGACCACAATATTGTAATATCGCGATTACACCACATTGCTGGTATTGATGGCACTGTTCTTAAATGGTTCAGGTCTTACCTGGAGGAGAGAACTTTTTCAGTGAATATTAGTGGCTCTAAATCATCTGTTGCTTCAATGTCTTATGGTGTCCCACAGGGCTCAATTCTTGGCCCTCTACTTTTCTCTCTTTATATACTGCCTCTGGGTTCTATCCTTAGGAAACATGGGATTTCTTTTCATTGTTACGCTGATGATTGTCAGATTTATTTGCCCATACAGCAGCAGGATGTGCATTCAATCAAACATCTCCTGGCATGTCTAGGAGATATTAAAGCTTGGTTGGCCTTGAACTTTTTAAACTTTAATGAAAACAAAACAGACGTGATGGTGTTTGGACCCAGTGGCTCTTGTGAGTCCTCCTCTGTTGACCTGGGACCTTTGCAGGTACATTTTAAACCTGTTATTACTGATCTTGGTTTTAAGGTGGACAGTGATTTTAAATTGGACAGCCAAATTAGAGCCGTGGTTAAGTCCAGCTTTTATCATTTAAGGCGATTGGCGTCAGTGAAATCCTTTCTTTCCAGGCAGCATTTTGAAACACTGATCCACGCTTTTGTTTCAACTCGATTGGACTACTGTAATGCACTTTATCTGGGTGTCAGTCAGTCGCTGCTCTCACGTCTGCAGATAGTACAAAATGCTGCTGCACAACTTTTGACAGGTACTCGAAAGAGAGAGCATGTGACCCCTGTCCTGGCCTCACTTCACTGGCTGCCTGTATACTTTAGTATTCATTTTAAAATTATTATGTTTGTTTTTAAATCATTGCATAATCTTGCCCCAGCTTACCTCTCTGAGCTTCTTCATCCCTACGTACCCCATCGGTCTCACAGGTCAGCAAATCAGCTGCTCTTGGAGGAACCGAGAACAAAAAGGAAGCTCAGAGGGGACAGGGCTTTCTCTGTTATGGGCCCCAAATTATGGAATGACTTACCTTTGCAGGTCAGAGAGGCCCCTTCTTTGTCCATTTTTAAAGCTCGTCTTAAAACCCATCTATTTTACTTGGCTTTCAACACCAGTGGGATCTAGTTTTAAATTGTATGTTTTTTGTTTTTAAACTGTTTTTAAATTATTTTTATTATGTTGTGTTCTTAAACTGTACAGCACTTTGTATCAACTGTGGTTGTTTTAAAGTGCTTTATAAATAAAGTTGGTATGGTATGGTATGGTATAGGGTGGCAGTCTGTGATAGCTTGAACTCAGAACCTCTGGATTCCAAGTGTAATGCTCCAACCACTAGGCTGCCACTCTCCTAAAAATTACTCAATATTCTTTCTTACAGTTTGGCAGCAATGGTTTTCAAATTTCTAGTGTTCTTCCTAGCTATCTTTGCAGTGAACAGTTGTTCAACAAAGCAGAAAAAGCAACCGAAGCAAGAAAGCCAGTGTTTAATGAACCTACTGTACAAGCTCTGGTATTTATGCTATAATTTTTTAAGATATCCACTATTCCCCTTATCCAACATTTTCTATTCTATAAAATCTATTCAAGAACCAGATGAAGCAGGTATCAGGGCCATTTACATTTAACATAATTTTTAGCATATTCACATGATCATTTTACTTAAACATCAACCAGGTACTGCTCACCTATTGACTCCTACATGTAGTCATCAAATATGCACCTGGTTAGAGCTAATGATGCTATCGTTAGATCTCGATTCTCTCTAGTACAACATTATTACAAAAAGAAAAACATTAATATGTCATGAACCATTGTCATTAGATTAACAAAACTTCTAAGTTAACCCTAAAACCTTTTGTTACTTATTTCCTCTTTCTTGCATAGGATCAATGTTAAGTTTTTTAAGCTCTTTATGCAAACTAACCGTACTCTGTATAGTAAGTTAAGGGCACAGTTTGTAAGTACAAAAAAGGTTTCAACTAGAACCACTATAGCCTGATTTTTTCTACTACTGTTTATGGCTCTTATTACTAATACAACCAATAGATCACTGCTGCTAATTTATTTTATTTAAATTCTATTTAGTTTCTGTACTCAGAAAAATGTAGCTGAGTAGAATACTTTTATCAAAACCTACAATAAGTAAAAGAAAGTAATCGTATCTTATAAACTAGTTAGGGTACAAACTACAAGTTCAAAGTACATCCTTGTTCCCTCCCAAACTGGTTTATGAATGGAATGATGGGCGTAACCAGGGACGGATCCTGAAGAAACCTGATACTTACATTCAACCTCAATCCAGTTTCTGTTACACAGAAAAGAAACTCCCACAGTTGTTCCTGGGAGCTGAAATGGAGCAGAGAGTAGTTCAACTAGACCAAGACAACTTCTCTTGTTCCATCTGTTTGGAGCTTCTGAAGGATCCAGTGACTATACCCTGTGGACACAGCTATTGTATTAGCTGTATTAAGGGCTACTGGGATGGAGAAAATCAGCGGAGTATCTGCAGCTGCCCTCAATGCAGGACAGAGTTCATACCGAGGCCGGTCCTTGAGAAAAGTGTCATGTTAGCAGACTTGGTGAAGGGTTTAAAAAGGAAAGGATGCAAACCTGCTCCAGCTGATCACTGCTATGCTGGACCTGAAGATGTGGCCTGTGATGTCTGCACTGGGAGGAAGATGAAAGCTGTGAAGTCCTGTTTATCCTGCCCTGCTTCCTACTGTAGGGATCATCTCAAACCTCACTATGATGCTCCACCATTAAAGAAGCACAAACTAACAAACCCCTCCAAAAGTCTTGAGGAGAACATCTGCTCTCGTCATGATGAGGTGATGAAGATCTTCTGTCGTACTGATCAGCAGTGTATCTGTTATCTCTGCACCATGGATGAACATAAAGACCATGAAACAGTCTCAGCTGCAGCAGAAAGGACTGAGAAGCAGAAGGAGCTCCAGGAGAGACGACAACAAATCCAGCAGAGAATCCAGGACCAGGAGAAAGATGTGAAGCAGCTTCAACAGGAGGTGGAGGCCATCAATGGCTCTGCTGATAAAGCAGTGGAGAACAATGAAAAGATCTTCACTGATCTGATCCGTCAGATCCAGAAAAGAAGCTCTGATGTGAAGCAGCAGATCAGATCCCAGCAGGAAACTGAAGTGAGTCGAGTCAAAGAGCTTCAGAAGAAGCTGGAGCAGGAGATCACTGAGCTGAAGAGGAAAGATGCTGAGCTGGAGAAGCTCTCAATCACAGAGGACCACAACCAGTTTCTCCAGAACTACCCCTCACTGTCAGCACTCAGTGAGTCTACACACTCATCCAGCATCAATATTCGTCCTCTGAGATACTTTGAGGATGTGACAGCAGCTGTGTCAGAGCTCAGAGAGAAACTAGAGGACATCCTGAGAGACACAGAGACAAACATCTCAGTAAGAGTCTCTAAAAGGGAAGCTTTACAGTCAGGAACAGAACTAAAGACCAGAGATAGATTCTTGAAATATTCACGACAATTAACTTTCGATCCAAACACAGCACATAGGAAGTTGTTATTATCTGAGGGAAACAGAAAGGTAATGTTAATGGAGCAGCAACAGTCTTATCCTGATCATCCAGACAGATTTACTGATCAGTATCAGGTCCTGAGTAGAGAGAGTCTGACTGGACGTTGTTACTGGGAGGTGGAGTGGAGAGGAGTAGTGTGTGTAGCAGTTTCAGCCAAGATTAGCAATTATATAAAGAGATCAAACAGGAATTTCTTCGGATTCAATGACAAATCCTGGTCTTTACGCTGTGATATAAACAGTAACCTGTTGTATCACAAAGGCATTCAAACTCCAGCTCCAGGTTCCTCCAGAATAGGAGTGTATCTGGATCACAGAGCAGGTATTCTGTGTTTCTACAGCGTCTCTGAAACCATGACTCTCCTCCATAGAGTCCAGACCTCATTCACTCAGCCTCTATATGCTGGGATTCAACTTAGGTCTTACTCAATTAATGGATCACAAAATAGATCCTTTGCTAAGTTTGTTAAACTGAAATAGTCAAAGATCAGATTTCATATCAAACTCAACCAGATCTTTTTTCAATTCTTCTGTGTTTTCATCATATGGACGCACTTTTTGTCTATAGATTTTTACAGTTTAAGAAGTTATCTTCTCCTCCAACCAGTGATAGCATCCTTGATATGCTGTATTATTTCTACAATTTGTGGCTGTAAATATTTTGTTAGTTAGTAACTTTATATACTTCAGAATCCCTTTAAATTAGTTCAAGGTTTAATTAACATGTGATATTGGTTTCCATTACTAAGCTAACTATACTAACAATTATCTGGTATTCTTTTATTTTGGTTTTAAAGTTGTATTTCTTTTTAATTTCTACCATTAGTTTTAAACTCATTAGGTGCTTAAACTCTCAGCTTGAAAGTTTGGTGTCGCCCTCTAGTGGATCTCTATCATCACCATAGATATAATGATCTTTCTTTAGTCCATCAAACCAACAACTCTTTCTTGAAATTTCCAGTCCTTTACTATTGTTATTACTAAATTTGCCTAATTATTTATGATTTACTTTCACTGTGTACAAACAGTTATTTTTAAATAAAGGTTGATTGATTGATAAATAAAGTGTTCTGTCTTTTGTAGTTTCCTTTTGTCCTCTGTAGATCACCAAGGTAACTAGTTATTGACACCTGTAACCCTGTATGCTACATTTGACTTTGTGTTTTAACATATATGGTTGCCAGTTTTAAATAAATTCATATCTACACTTTCCTGAAATATTACCAGAGTTTTTACAAAGTTATTCATTTCATTTAATCAACAAATGTTTCAGTCATCATACTTTACTCATCTCACACAATATCAAAAACACTTCTCAGTTCTCATCACTTAAACTTAATCAGTGTTTCAAAATACTTCTGCTTGATGAGCTTCAAGGTCGTTCTTAAATTCAACCACTAACTAAACATATTAGAAGTCTGAGATAATTTTGTTAGGCCAAAAAATTATTACAGAGACAATTCAATTAGATCAGACAGTCAGATGGTAAAAAGTCTTTTAAGGAAAACTAACTTATTATATCAAGTAATTTAATTTGCTGGGGAAGTTTCTCCTAGATGAGCAAGTGGTGACAGTCGATATTCGCTTGCATGTGTCACTGACTCATTTTGTGATTGACTCATTTTGTCACTGGATAATAGAAACACTGATTTATAATACTTTCTATGATAGAAAAGGTAACTGCAGACTAGTTCCACAGGTGGCTCTGCATAGTAAAGAAATAGGTAAGCAGACAAGCTATGAGACAGTTTTCATGCCTAAAGGTATAAAAGAGAGCACATACAGTTAGTCACACTAAAAGCTGAGCACATAGCTTTGTCTCAGGGAGAAATACTTCTAAGCACTGAAAAACAGGCCAAACTCTATCATTTAATAATTTAACTTTATTGCTCTCACATTGGAGAAAGTTTACCTCTGCATTTAACCCATCCCTGTGGGGAGCAGTGGGCTGAATGGGGAGCAATATGGGGTTAAGTATCTTGTTCAGGGACCCAGCGTGCAGACTAGGGGGATAGAACCAGATACTTGCAACCTTCTCAGTGCACAAGGGCACTGCTCTAACCACTAGGTCAACACTAGACCAAAACTCCCCTTTATGATGGGCGTTGATGGCAGCAACCCAGCTGATAATTTTGCTGTGCAAGATGTCATATGCACGCAGGACCAGGCCAGATTAAGCTCCGATGATGAGAAAAAGAAGAGAAAACATAAAGTTATGGGTTGAATTAACAGATACTGCAAAATGGAAGAACAGATCGAATAGAACAGAATGATGGAAAGTGGGCACTATGCCCTCCAGCAGTCTAAGCCTTTAGCAGTGTAACTATAGCGATAGCTCAGGATAACCTCTGCTATTTAAGCTAGCAACTTTATCTAAAAGGAAGGTTTTAAGCCTTGTCTTTAAAGTTGAAATGTTGTCTGCGTCCTTTCTGTTTGTTATGTTCAATGACCAACTGAACAGATCTTAAAATGGTTGGCATTTCATTTCATTTCACTTTCCCCCGCCTGCCCGGTGAGGGGAAGCATGGTAAGGCAAAAATATATAAAGGCTTGAAATGGAATAAAAATGAGTGTGCCCCATCTGGCTAAAGTAGGGGAACAATTTGACATAGATTTGGAGGCAGTGGGTCACATGACCTGGAAGCCATTGAAGAAAAGTCCCAACTTTTGACTTTAAAAATACCTTAAAAATTGAAAATAGCTTAAAATTGCATAAAAGCAAAAGTTACATGTTATCTTTTGGCCTAATCTTATATTAGTTTCATCTTAGCTGGTCATTAGATTGGAAAGGTATTGATTTCTGTTTCTCAAGAGTGTTTGGTTCAAAGATTTGTTCATGGTCCCTAACTGCACCACCACATGTGGGAGGAGGGAGCAGCTGAGAGACACTGGCCGACATCGGAGTCCCTCAGTTGGATCCACTGTTTGCTAGATCCAACTTCAAACCAACTTCACGGCGCTGCTAATGGCTCGGTTCTGCTGCACTGTAGTCGATTTAAATTCCGGACAATTTTGAAATTCCCCTGGACATTTTTTTAGGTATGAAAAGTAGAACATGTCAGAGGAGACGTCTGGTCACCTTAAAGGAGTGCTACCGCAGGTCATTCATCCCTGCTGATACCAGACTCTATAATGCGACACTACAATGACAATAACTTGTGCAATGTATAATGTGCAATTACAATTTCATACCCTGTGCAATAACCTGTTTCTCTAAATTTGACACCCAGTGCAATAACTATATATATAAATATAAATATCGGTCTAAATAAATACCTATGTAAACACCATATGCAATAATAACCCTGCATAATAGTCCTACTAAAAAATAAAAAAAGCTGTGTGCACTGTATATCCTACACCTTTTTTTTCTTTTGGCACATTCTTCTGCTTTCACCGTTTGAGCTGATGTAACAAGTACATTTCTCCACTGTGAGATCAATAATGTCAATCAATCAATAAATAAATCAATATATCAAAAGAATAGAACAGATATCAATCACTGGATTCTTCCTAAATGATTCAGACCAGGATTATGCCCCTTAAATAGATTAAATCGATGTTAAAGTTTTTCACAAATTTTAACCGGGTCATGGTCAAGCTTGAAAAGTTTAGTTTAGACAACTGGATGTAAAGATTTCTGGAAGATGTTTATCTCTCATCCATAATCTGGTGCAGGAGAGAATTTCCTCTCAGTGCCACTAGTTAGAACTAAGGAAGCCTCTTGGATGAGAGGTCTTCTAGAAAACTTCACGTCCAGTTTCCTAGACTGAAATTAGTGTTAATAGTTTTTAAAGTAGCTTTTAAATATCTGATGTCTATTTGAACATAACAGGGAATAACATATTCAGCATTTGAAACTCAGCTGAGCAACCTTTTCAAATCCACTCAGTTGCGTAATCATATTACGGGTTAACAGACAGTGTGCAGTTCAAAGTGCAGCCGTGATTTCATTATGGGTGTAACCGCTAATGCTCCCTGAGGAAAGCAGGTAAAACCACTTGTTTTCTTCCGAAGAGAAACTCACACAGTTGTTTTCACTGAGAGCTGAAATGGAGCAGAGAAGAGCTGACCTAGACCAAGGTAACATCTCCTGTTTAATCTGTTTAGATCCAGTGATTGAGCCTTTGACTATTCCCTGTGGACACAGCTACTGTAAGAACTGTATTAAAGACCAGTGGGAGGGAGAAGATGAGAGGAGGATCTACAGCTGCCCTCAGTGCAGGAAAGAGTTCATACCGAGGCCTGTATTGGATATTGAGGATATGAAAACAGGCCTCCAGGCTGCTGCAGATGATAACTGCTATGCTGGACCTGAGAATCTCCAGGAGAACATCTGCTCTCGTCATGATGAGATAATGAAGATCTTCTGTCGTACTGATCAGCAGTGTATCTGTTATCTCTGCACCACTGATGAACATAAAGGCCATGAAACAGTCCCAGCTGCAGCAGAAAGGACTGAGAAGCAGAAGGAGCTCCAGGAGAGACGACAACAAATCCAGCAGAGAATCCAGGACCAGGAGAAAGATGTGAAGCTGCTTCAACAGGAGGTGGAGGCCATCAATGGCTCTGCTGATAAAGCAGTGGAGGACAATGAGAAGATCTTTACTGATCTGATCCATCACATCCAGAAAAGAAGCTCTGATGTGAAGCAGCAGATCAGATCCCAGCAGGAAACTGAAGTGAGTCGAGTCAAAGAGCTTCAGGAGAAGCTGGAGGAGGAGATCACTGAGCTGAAGAGGAAAGATGCTGAGCTGGAGAAGCTCTCAATCACAGAGGATCACACCCAGTTTCTCCAGAACTACCCCTCACTGTCAGCACTCAGTGAGTCTACACACTCAGCCAGCATCAATATTTGTCCTCTGAGATACTTTGAGGATGTGACAGCAGCTGTGTCAGAGCTCAGAGACAAACTGCAGGACATCCTGAGAGACACATGGACAAACATCTCAGAAGCAGTCACTGATGTGGAAGTTTTGCTCTCAGAACCAGAACCAAACACCAGAGCTGGATTCCTAAAATATTCAAGAGAAATCACTCTGGATCCAAGCACAGCAAACAGTTTTCTGTTATTATCTGATGGAAACAGAAAAGTAGCCAAAATAGAAAACCAGCAGCCTTATCCTGATCATCCAAACCGATTTACTGTTTTGTTTCAGGTTTTGAGTAAAGAGAGTCTGGCTGGACGTTGTTACTGGGAGGTGGAGAGGAACGGGGGAGTTGAAATAGCTGTTTCATACAAAAATATTAGGAGAGAAGAAAGGAAAAGGGAGTGTGAGTTTGGATTAAATGACAATTCGTGGACTTTAGATTTAGTCTCAAAATGTTTCAGATTTTGGCACAACAGCATTAAAACTCCATTATTTTGTCCAGTTTCCTCCAGAATAGGAGTGTTTCTGGACCACAGAGCAGGTATTCTGTCTTTCTACAGCGTCTCTGAAACCATGACTCTCCTCCATAGAGTCCAGACCACGTTCACTCAGCCTCTATATGCTGGGGTTGGGCTTTTTAATGGATCCTCTGCTGAGTTTGTTAAACTGAAATATTCAGACTTGTTCCAAGGTTCAGTTGTTTAAAATATGTATTTCATTTCCAGTTTCTTTCAGCCCCATCATTGTTGCTGAGAGCTACTGTAATTCAGAGATCAGCTTTCTTCATGGAAATACTTTATCTTGTTTGCTGTTTTGTTGGTATTCAAGTTTTTGGGGTGCTGCTATTTCATGTTTGTATTCAGCTATGGAGATTATCACTGCTTAACATGATTTTTATTCACTAAACTAATGACATTTGCATTAATTGCTTTGTCAGACCAAATGTTGCAATACAAATCTACTGTATGTACTGATGAATTAATGATAAACAGCAATTATCAACAGCTCATCATCAATTGGGATATTGCTCATTTTGTTCTTAGACCAAGATCAGATTTTAGCCCAAACTTGTTGTAGAAATAAATACATGTTATTACTGTCTTTATTTATTTATTTTTTCTGGGATTACATCCCTAAAATGCTTTATTATGTCCAAAAATCTGTAGTAAATTTGTTTTTTTTTTGGAAACTTTTGAAAACGGTAAAAATTCAGAATTTGATTGAAATGTGATGTGTGTTTTCCTTCCTATATTTACCTCAATAAAAACAACATCCAGTATGAGAATGATTGATTTATTCTAGAAAGAACAAACACATGACAGAATTTTTAAAGTTATTTTTTGTTGAGTAATTAATTTTATTATTTTTTTCTATAAGAATAAGCGAATCATATCAGTGTACCACCGATTCCACCTCAAAACATTTGCAGAGCTACCACTGATGGTCGTCCCAGTTTCTCGAAGATAAAGGTGTCACTGGGCATTAAGAACAGGCCGGTCTTAGCACCTTTTGCCATCTAGCAACTTTGACCCCTATATGTAAAGATTTTTCAAACTCTTTCAGCAGCTTTTTTTTTCTTTTTTGAAAAGCGACCAGTAAAAAAATCTAGAAATTTTGTCCTGTTGTTGCGGCAAAATGAAGGCACCATTCGCTCTGAGTTTAATACCGTCATGGTCTAATGTCTCCCTCCTCCAATATAGCCTGTGATCAGTCTCAGTAGCAAACAGTAGTGTGACTCCCCTCTGTTTCTCCATTGAAAATAAACATCCACTAAAATGACTGGTTTAAAAAGCTTTAGGCATGCAAATATAATAAAAAATAATCTTAACTGTTGCACTTAAAATTACTCCTCTGACTCTCAGTCAGTCTTCGTAGATCCAGCCCAGCCCCGACATCCCACATCCTCCATAACCGCCCGCTTCATCTCACTCAGTTCCAGACTGCCTGCGCAAAGCAAAGCCTAGAGCCCCTCATGTCTTGCTTGGAGCTCAAGGAGAGCATGTGCAACATTATTATTTAAATTATATAGTCGAGGATTTTCGCCAATTTTTGAAAAGACCCACCCGCTCCTCTGTGACACCTCTGACACAGATCCTAACAGTACCCCCTGAAGATGGGACGAATTGTCTTTTGGGAGGATTGTCACCTGGATCCTGCTTAATTGTGATGCTCTCTTGGAATTTTTATTTAGATCTTAGGTTAGAGAACCAATCATGCAGGATCCTTGCAAAACAGTGGAGAGAGAATCAGTCGAGTCAGGTGGAGAAAACTGAGAGCTTCAGGCTTAAGATTTTTAGAGCCAAGGCAGCACTGTAGGTAATGGTTAGTTTGAAATGTGAGAAGAATAAAAAAAAGAAAAAAAAAAAGACTACTTATATTGACAGAGATTTAACCTTTGAAGTTTGAAAATAAGCAAGGTTTTTATGCTATGTCCAAAATGATTACTGGGAGCTTTGTACCCTCAGGCCACTGTCTCCACTTTTCCAGAGCTAGTCTATTGGCAAGCAGTTCTCCACCACCAATGCTAGAATTGATCTCAGTGGTTGTGAACGTTTTGGAGAAGAAGGCGCATGGGTGAATTTTTCTATATACGGGGGATCTCTGAAACAGAATAGCATCAACGCCAACATCGGAGACATCCTTCGCAAATATGGCTCGAGTTGAAGGTTCAAGGTGCATTAAAACAGGAGCTTCGGTAAAATGCTTCATTAACTGGATTTTTTAAAATTGTTTCTGGATCGGTACTCACACATCCACTCACACATCCACCTTCAAATACATAGCCCAAGAAAGTTATATAGTCAATTATTGACAGTTCTCAAAAAGTTGGTTTAGTACTCTGTGGACATCTTTTCTGGTTTTCCCCAAACTATTTGAGAAAATGAGAATATCATACAGGTAAACAAAAATGTGTTTATGAAGTCTCTGAGCACAACATTTATCAGGTTTTGGAAAACAGAAGGTGCATTACAAAGACCAAAATGCATGACAGGGTACTCAAGAGGATCTTCATAAGCTTTGAAAGTGGTCTTCCTACTGGTTCTTGGAAAAGATGCTCCACCTCCAAGTACCCCTGGTTTTAACTGAAAGGCTTGGGCTTTTGGGCAAATAGGACAATTGGAAACAAAATGTTGAGGGGAACCATAATACAGGCAGCAACCAGAGATTTGACAACGTTGTTTTCTTTGGGAGATAACTTGGCTCACCCAATTAGCATGATGTAGACTTTATCAGGGATTTGAGAAGGCAACTGCTCAAGGGAAACTGTTTCTTAACTGGGATGTTAGATTGTTGAATCTCTTTACTCCAAAACCTTTCCCAAATTCTGTCGTTAATTCTGATGGATAAATCAAGTAGATCAGCCAGAAAAGGAGGAGAATCTGGACAAGCTAACTCGTCTTTAAGACGATCATTTAGTGCATATTGATAGACAGCTTTAAGAGATGTATCATTCCTTCCAGACTCAAGCTGTCAGGACTCCAGTCTGTGCGTTTGTTTTTGTGTTGTTCTCCCTTCCACCAGCAGGAGGCGCCTGGTTCTGGTCCGCCTCCTCAAACACCTGATGATGGTTGCCTCGTTAACGGAGTGCTCTTAAACTGCTGATTGCCACTACCTCGACGCCAGAGTGTTTGGCAGTTTAGGGTACTCTAGCCAAGCTGAGTTTTGCTGAGTAAGACTGAGTTCTTGTCTACCTGAGTTTTAACTTCGTTTTTGTCTTTGCCTCTCAACAGGAAGTCATCATGCAAACTGGACCTTTTCGGACCTTCTCTCCCTGGAGGAATCAACTGAGACTCAAACCGAGCTGGGGACTCAAACTAGAGGTTTGGATCCAGTTTGCTTGAGAGGACATTGAAATTACTCACTGAGCAAGGGAATCATCTCCACTATGACCCATTCAAGTACAGCAGGATATCTGAGCGGCAGTAAGTTTCTCCGTTCACCAACAACCATCCGAGTTCTGGGTAAACCCTGTTCCGCCCTCCACCGAATCAGTATAACACTGGAAAACAGCATGCAGATTGGAGTCAAAGATCCTACAACTTCTCTGGAAACGTGAGTCAACAACCAGATCCTCTTCTCCAAATCCACAAATGAAATTTCCCACTGAGCTTGAACTAATCGTTTGTCTTCCCTTCACCTTCCAGATCCGGTCGAGCTGGGTTCAGAACAACTCTGCACTGTGCCTTATCTCTTCAATAAACCTGTTAAACCTTTCCCCTGGTGTCTCTGAATTGGTTCTCTGCATGTGGGTCCGAGCTTTAGATAAAACCATGACACAAGCACTAGAGTATAAATATCTATAGTCAGCTATGCCACAGAACTGTTACCCTGAATTTATTGGCTGCTTCATCTTCATTAACAAAACTTGAACAGGTCCAAAAAAATCCTTATATGAGATACAGTTGATATATATTTAATTGATTGCTTCTGCCTCTCTTAAGGCTCAGTCTCTTAACAAACCAATGATGTATTAAATTTGATTGAAATCATCAGGGAATGAGTGAGGCTAACTGCAAGACTAGGGTGCACTGTAACAGAAATCCTCTGCACTTACCTAGTTCACCAGAATACGGCTCCGGTGTGGGTAGGGCATTGTCTTGGAATGTGTGCGGTGGAAAAAACGGACGGACCTCTAAAGGAGTCCGATTAGGGGGAAGAAACTACATTATAGGGTTACGGTTGTTTTTGTAAGTCTTGGATCTCCCAGGACATGTGGTTCATCCTTTAGATCATTGTTAAAGTGAGAAGGATTTGTCCCCTTCAAAGTAAAGGCTGTAACGCCCCGGGGCCTCCTCACACGGTTCTTTTCCTGGGAGCAAGTTATTTACTACTCTTAACTCAAACTCGGTAAAACCATATGAAAAAGGACTATAAAAACAGGAGTAAAAAAGTAACAGAGTTTATTCCAGATCAGGTCGTTACAAGACAGAGAAAAATGCTCAGAGCTATGCACAGCTGTGGTCTCAAAAATCACGTCCGCAAGCGTCCGGCAAAGTTTGAGCCCCGAACAACGTCATCACCTGCTTCTTATACCTTCTGAGTCTGTGTCACATCATGTGGATGCTTAGCTGTCCGTATCAGAAACTGACACGCCATCCATGTCTTGAACTCCATGCAGGTTGCCTCTCTGTCTCAGGGTTACAGATACAGCCGCTCTCCTATCAGACCGGCTCCAAGATGTGCCCATATCCTTTGTGCTCTTAGAGACACAAAGGCTGTCTTGATTAGATGACCTCCGTACACACCGTGATATCCACAATGTGAAGGAAGGCCTTCTGCTCTGTCTAATCTGACAAATTAACAGTGCACATGATGTATAAATAATAAACCCTAACAACTCCCCCTGATAAGTTACCGTTTTTACAGGTAACTTAAAAAAACACAGGAAGCGGCACATCTTCGAAGGACCGGGTGACCCAGAGAGCATCTATAATTAGTCAAGTATCATTAATTAGGAATCAAAAGTAATCACAATCAAAGCTTCACAGACCAAATGTTCTCACTCAATACCACAGTTTCAGCATTTAACTACAATTTGGGTGTCATCTAATTAAAGGAAAGCTCTTTTAGTTTCCTATGCGCACATTATTTTAAGTTACCTTAGACTAGATAACCTAAGCCTATAAATCCAATAAGGCCAAATTCATCTACTCTCACTCCCACCTGGAGGCCTCCTAAATGTGACCGCTCCTCATGGATAAACCATCTATTCAACTTTACCAACCATTCAGTCACAGTAGGGGACGTCACAGGACAGGTTGGGCCGTTCTCCACCGGAAAACGCTACCCTCTCTAAAAGGTAGTAAAAACCGGGGTGACCCCGGGGAAATCCCACTCTCGGCCAATCTGAGCAAGAAAACCCCGTTTTGAATCTGATAATTATCCTTACCAACTACTTAAAGAACCTGTAAGGTTCAGAGTCTTCCTACATCAAAGAAAAAGTGGCATAAAACGTGATCTTGGTGGGTCTGGAGCAAAATGTTTCCATGATTTTCATCAAAACCAAATCAAAATAAATCAAAACATATACATCACAATTAGGTTAAATCAAGAATTATCCTGGTCCGAGTTAAAAACAAATGATGAATATCACTGATGATGATGAATTCTTTCAGTGTCTCTATCACTCATCAATCAAATTAATCAATCAGAGTCTCGTATGGCCTCCTCCACGGCCACTTTGTTCGCCATGCAGTCCAGCGGCCGATAGATGCTGAATCCATGTGGTGGTTCTCATGGAATGTTCTCATCACAGTTCATCAATCTTTTCCTCCGGGAACCCTTCGACACACAGAGAGTGCAGTCAGTGTTCTTATCACGATAAACAATGTCTTCAATGAGCAATTCTTTATTCACTCAAAATCTAAGTGCAGTCACAACCAGATATTCTTATCCACAATTACTTTCCCTTATCCCTTAAATCACCATTAACCTACATTTAAATTAATTTTCCATGGACTCTGTGTTTTTTCAGCAGATTATTTCAGTGTCTATTCAAAAAACAAAAAATAAAAATGAATAAAAAGAAATCCCCAAAAACATCATATAAGCCCAAAATCACTGCAACTAATATAATCTAATTCAAGGAACCTGTAAATATTTAGAAAACATTTAACCCTTTTTTACACATTGTAACACTCAATTCATGGATTAAATGAATGAATTTTAAAACCATTTCTACATCATAGCATATTAAGTTTTAGTCTCGTCTAAACTTGTAACTGCATTTTAGTTTACTGCTACACCCTCCCCAGAAAATTATTAGAAGTTCTTTAATCTCTAAGGAAAAAACCCAGCTTGGCGCAGATTCCCCCTATTAAAAACTCCCCCACCAGACCTTGTATCCGTGAATGTTAGTGCATGAAAGAAAACCTCATTCCCATGTGGACCCTTGTGTGTTCTTCCAGTCGTTAACCGTGTGTGGGCGTGTTGTTATGTGACAGTATGTGTGTGTGTCTATGTGAGTGGATCTATACGTGGGAAACTGGTCAGGAGCCATCCCGCTACTGGTTTGGAAGAAAAAGTGTTTCTTGGAGCAGTGACCCTCTCCAACATGCAAAAAGTTCGATGTTCGGACAAGTCCATCAGGTTTCCCTCTGTTACCACAGCAGCTTTGAACCATAAGAGTCTTGGGGCCATGTGTCCCCACACCCCCTGAAGGATAAGTCTTTACCTGTGTCATCAGCAGTATCACATAGAGGTAGAAGGAAACAGAGCGTTAAAGGTGTTCCTCCCTTCAAGAGGAAATGTCATATTGAATTGTTCATCTGCTCAGAGCACAGGATTGTACTCTGACTTGCTGCTGCGTTCCCAAAACTCAGCAGTATACAGTTCCTGAAGGTGTTGAATTCGACTGCACCCCCTCTATGCAAAGTGTCCAGCTATAGTCCATTTAAAATATTCTCCAAAAAGCAGTGCTCCGATGAGAAAAAACAAACAAAACAAAAACAAAGAACAAAATAAAAACAAACGAAAAAAAATCTGTTCCAACATCCCCAGAACCAGTAAATAGTTGTCATATCTGGACCCCTGACCAGATCCAAAAAATGTGCAGGAAACATAATCTCTTCTTATATGTGTTATCTCAAATAAACTAAACACTAAAGTGTGCATCTCCTCTAAAGTATTAATTGCAGCTCTAGTGAAGTAAAGTCAGGTGTTCTTATTGCTTCATGCATAAAAAGTATGGTTAACCATCCCCCAAATTGTATATAGCCCCTCAAATGCTATTTATAACTCTGCTCGCAGTAAAAAAAAAAAAACAAAACAAGCAAAAAACATTTAAAATTTATCAAAACAAATAAAAATAAAATAAAAAGATAAAATAAATGGTGAAGTTTTAGTCCCTGGGCCTGATATTGAATCCCCATAAGCTCATTAACTCATTAAGTCTTCATCGTTATTGCTTATTTTGAAAAGAAACCATCATTTGCTTTAAACATTTGCTCCTAAAATGTTATAATTTCCCCTAAATTGCATTCTGTTGATGCAACTGTACCATTCCCAAAAGTTAAAGTTTCAACTTGTTGTCCCTTTAATAATATTATGCTAATTAACAACTGACCAAACTATTTATCAAAAAACCCAGTCTAATTTATCACATAGTAAAACATCTCTAAATCCTCTTTTTTATTCCTCTATGTAAGAATACTCCACCCCCTGATGATATAAAGAAAAATTTAGCATAGTTTTTCATTGTGAATAAGAAATCTGGTGTGTCAGTTCACTTAACTTTTTTTTTTTTTCATCCGTCTTGTCCGATGATCCCACGACCTTCCATCAACCCATCACTGCCAGTGTTCTTTTCTCGTCCAAAGCAGTGGGCATCCAGTCATTTCCTTAATGTCTGCATCTCAGCAGCTGCACACCATCCCTCCTTCTGAAGTTTAGGAGCAAAGTTAGTCTCTGTGCCCCTTGTAGGTTAATCCATCCTGCGACTCAAGAAAGAAAGTGTCCAATGTCTCTCCAAACAAAAAAGATCCATTGTTCATTTTGAAACATTTCCATCCGTAGTGTAGTCAAAACTATTCAAAAAAAAAATGTAACATGCGTGCCACGTCTTTTTTTTTTTTTTTTCATACAGGCTAAGATGTTAGTAAACAAACAGAAAACAAACAAACATACAGACACAAACAACGACAAACATGTAAGACAACAAAAACCCCCGTGGTGCCTCCGACTTCTCCAAATAGTTGTTGGTTCATCTTGTCATTCGTTAAATGCCTCTGTCAGCATGACTGCTCTTAATGTTCCACCCCAACAAAAGTCTGTGAGCTTCAAACCACCACATCAATCTGTACCTCATAGCTCATATCAGAACCAGAGAGGAATTAAAACAAACTCAGAGCTCACCAGAATGGCCTTCAGCCGGGAACAAAACATGCAGCCACAATCTCTACACCCTGTCTCTGGCATGCTGCATTCTCACACCACCTCTCTCATGTCCTGATCCATGGTTCCGATCCAGTCCAGTTGCTAACCAAGTCAGTCCAGTCAGTCAGAACCTATTCAAATCCTCCTATCAAAAAGTTTTCAACTATCTGAACCCCCCTCTCTCTCTTGCTCTAGTCACTCTCAGCCAAGTTGTCCATTTCACATGCCAGAACTTCTGCAGCTGTTGGGAAAATAAGGGTTAATGCACATCTTAAACAAAACACAATGAAGGATGAGACTTTTGTCAGCCTGTCCTGGAAGAAAAAATGTTAACATTTAAGGATTGTTACAAACACAGCCTGAAAAAGAAAAATAAAGGAACATGTTTAAGAAAAACGATCTCCTGATCCTCCTTAAATGGGCCTCTGAATAATCCTGCCTGCTCCCTGACAGCCGCACTGTCACTCTCTACAAGCAGGGAAAAAGTAAATTACCCCTCTGGTTTGTTACCAGGAAAAAGCAATCAAAAAGTTCATCAATTAGTCAATAGTTAAGCACTTAATTCACAGAAATTTGTAAAGTTAGTAGAATCTAACACGTCATGCAAAGAAAGTAAGGCCCAGATGAACAGTGAAAAGATAAGTGTTAGTAATGATTAGAGATTCAAATTAATCAGTTCGTGCCTAGGCAGTTTCCAAACGGCATTATACACAGATAAAAATAATTATGGAGAAAAACTGAAGGCTGAAAAAACCCAGGGTCAGGTCACACCGAAATCGTTCTTAACTCTCCAGCCTTGTTTATAAAAGTTGACCCCGTTAATCTGCTGAGCTCCTGCGGGTATCTTGGCCATATGCTGTGTCCAGTTCCAGCTCGAAGTGTGATTTATCCTGTCCCTAATCGATCTCTAATAAAATCCTAATGAGAGAAAAATGAAACTAATCAACATGTTTGATACGATTACCCTTCTGTTATGCCCCCAGTGCTCCTTCACAATCCTGTAAAAATGCAAATCATGTTAATGTCACATCAAAAAATATTCTTAATCATTTCCAACTTCACCACACACATTCTACCTCACATGCACTCCACATTTAGGACAGACAGACAGACATTGGCCACATAAAGTTTGTTTAATCCATCAGTATCAATTTAGATTTATCTTCTTAGAGGATTTTCTTTTCAATTTAAACAAAAATCATAATCTTTTCACCAGTCCGGTCTTAAGACCTCTGCACCAGTGCTTTTCAGCCTCATGTTAGGATCCTTGTTAAACTATATGTGCACATTTATGGAAACCTAAGATTTATTTGCTCACGTTAGACACCAAAATAAGTTTTCACACCCAATGATTTTTTAATTCTAAGCGTCCCCCAAAAATGACATGTTTGAATTTTCAACTATGAGAACACCTCTAAGGGGTTCTGAAAAAGTGGTATGTTTTGTTTTTCTCCTGAAAATCCCATTACCTGTGTAGTTTTTTGGCAGGGGGCACATAAAGATTTAGGGTGCCGTATCTGGCCCCCGTATCAACGATAAAAGGACAGTTGCTGCCCTCAATCAAAATAACTATCACTCCTGCTGGAAATTTCTCAAAAACTACCTCCATAACTAAACAAATAGTGGGATCCCGGCCTCCCTAGTGTTGCTGGGGGTGGGGCGGCTTGCGGCACTGGCCTCTCTGTCCCTCTCTCAGTTCACTCCTCTGGGACTGCGAACGGTGTGTAGGATAACCGTTTCGACACCACTTTGCTCTATGTCCCATTCGTCCGCAGACCCAGCAAGTGATATACCTGTCGTTTTGATCGTATCCTCTGCCCCTCTCTCTGCCACGTCCCCCAGCAAACACTGCTGCCTGTGCGTAGTGGTACATCTGGTAGTCCTCCTCCGTGTGCATGCTGGCAAGAGTCACACATTCAGGGTTAGTCATATTTGTCTGGGTATTTTTATTCTGTGATTTTTTTGCTTTATTTACTCTTTCCCGTTCCTTTATAAGAATACAGTCTGTTTCATTTGGGTAGGTAGCTCTTAGGGCTGCCCAAAATTGGTCCGACACTGGGGCTGCATTTGTAGGATCTGGAAGTTTGTATCTAAATGAGGCACTATCAGTAGATGTTAGGGGGTTGTAGCTGACCGTCTGTACTCTACCTGCATCGTTATATGTCTGAACTAATGGCATCTGGACTACCATCTCCCTGTCACTTCTATTATTCTCCTTACTCAGGTTATATTTGCTTCCAGCAGGGTCAAGCGGCTGTGAGTAGGCAAGCTTGTTCTGTGTTATTCTTATGGCATCCTTGACTAGTCCCACAGCTCTATCAATCCTGTCATTTATCATCAAAAGGCACTGATCCTCTGTGTGCGGTTGTCCCATGTTCGTAGCTCCCTCCTGTCCCCCATAGCAAAACTGTTCCTCGTGTTTAACCACCCCTTGTCTGTCCGTTACTTTATTTAACTGCATCTGTTTTTCTGCCAGCTGTTGATCCATCTCCTGCAGTTGTAGTTGCAATTCTAATCTTCTCCGTTCCATTTGTATCATATCTTCCTCATTACTATCCGTATGCGGCTTCCTCTGCTCATCTCTCCCTCTCAGACTGTCAGCTGCCCCTAGACTGTGCCCTTCATGTTCTGTGCCCATGCTATCAATTGTTGACAGTCGCTGAAATGCTTTATTTACCGCCTCCTCTATTAAATCTTGCATCTGAAACTCTTTTCGTACCTCTTGTCCCAATTCTTCCTCTGTAGGCCTTATTTCACAATTTATCTGACCCTCACGCAACTCCATAACAGGCATCTGCACACATGGGTTTGATGGAATCATTGCATCACCAGCCTTACGAAAGATTTCTCTTACACCTTGGTGTGGACTGGGGTCCATAATAGGCTCTGTTTCTGCAATATTAGATGTACTCATGAAAGGTTTTTCTTACCCTCTGAAGTGTCGAGTGCCTGCTCACCTCCCTGAGCCCCGTTTTGCTCCACCTGTTTCTGTTCAGAATCCTTGTCAGAAAAATAGTTACTAAAATTGAACTTGGTTTGTCTAATCAGATCCAAAAGTTTTGTTTCTTCCTTCTGGTGCTAACGAGGTATTTCTGGATTCAATTTTCTAGTCCACATGCATCCATCTTTCACACCTTTTGTTCACACAGTGTATAAAATTGGACCTCGACGTCTTACGTGAGGTCCCTCGGTGCTCTAAACGTTTTACCTATAAGCTACAGTGAGCCGCTTCTCTGCTAAGGAAGTGCGTCCGTCAAAGAAATACGTCCGTCAGTGAAAAGGAAAAAAAGAAAGGAAAATTTAGAGAAAAGAAAAGATTTAGATATAGTTCCGCCTAGTTCACTCCACCACTTATGGAATTAGACAAACAAGTTGCCTAATTCGGGCCTCGGCCTAATATGTTTTATGGGGATTATTTTATCGTTTCTCTCTTTCCTTTATAAGAGAAGAGAAGGAAAGAGAAAAAATGCCCCCAACGGTCCGTTTCACCCTGATCCCCCCCACCAGTCTCAGTTTTTCGTACATGTCCTTATGGGAGGCATACTGGCAAACTCTAGCCGGCTATGTGACTGGGTCTGTGCGTCTGTTTTCAGAAGTGCATCTTTCGTGTCTGCAGGCAGACCGGGAATAAAATCACCGTCCCTTTCTGCATGCAGAAACCGTTGGGCTTCCAACCAACTTTATCCTAGTGAGTAGTATAATTCTTGAAGACGTTTGCGCAGTCGCCTTCAGTCGGACTTTCAACCGCTACCCACAGCAGAACGCACGACTTTTTTCTCTCTCTCTCTTTTTTTTTTTTTTTTTATGTGTAGACGTTCGCAATGTAAAAGAAAAAGAAACCCAACTAATACAACCAAACAAAAACCGCAAAAACAAAAACTAAAATCACTCTGAGCAATTTCTCTGTCCTCTTTTGCATAAAAAACTTCAGCTCACTTCAGAAAATCACAACACAGCCAAAGTGTTTTAACAGTAAAAACACTGGAGATATTTTGTAATAAGGAATCTCCTCACCTTATCAGTTGTTTCGGCCGCAGGCTGTGGAGCTTTTTCCGTCGGTGGCTCTGTTGTCCTGCTTCCAGGTCACGGGCGGAAACACCAATTTGTTAAAGTGAGAAGGATTTGTCCCCTTCAAAGTAAAGGCTGTAACGCCCCGGGGCCTCCTCACACGGTTCTTTTCCTGGGAGCAAGTTATTTACTACTCTTAACTCAAACTCGGTAAAACCATATGAAAAAGGACTATAAAAACAGGAGTAAAAAAGTAACAGAGTTTATTCCAGATCAGGTCGTTACAAGACAGAGAAAAATGCTTAGAGCTATGCACAGCTGTGGTCTCAAAAATCACGTCCGCAAGCGTCCGGCAAAGTTTGAGCCCCGAACAACGTCATCACCTGCTTCTTATACCTTCTGAGTCTGTGTCACATCATGTGGATGCTTAGCTGTCCGTATCAGAAACTGACACGCCATCCATGTCTTGAACTCCATGCAGGTTGCCTCTCTGTCTCAGGGTTACAGATACAGCCGCTCTCCTATCAGACCGGCTCCAAGATGTGCCCATATCCTTTGTGCTCTTAGAGACACAAAGGCTGTCTTGATTAGATGACCTCCGTACACACCGTGATATCCACAATGTGAAGGAAGGCCTTCTGCTCTGTCTAATCTGACAAATTAACAGTGCACATGATGTATAAATAATAAACCCTAACAGATCATGGATGTCCATTGTTTGACCATGGTCTGAATAGAGGAATCATCAAAACCCAGAAGGTCTCAGCAAGATTGGCCCATAATTGTACTGCAGAGTAAGAACATTGTACTGCAGTTCGTACAGATGGTTCTTACATTATACGGGAAATTACTTTTATGCAGAACACAACCATGGCTACAACCAGGAACAACCTAAAATATTTATTTACAAACAGATCTGTTGCTCTTGCTTAGTTTTATTGTTTTAAAATGCATTTGTTTAATCTCTGTATGCAAACTTAGTTTACTTTATAACTTAAATGAACACTTTAACAATAAGTAAAAGAAGGTTATTGCTGGCTCCACTAGAGTCTGTTGGACATTATCTTTGTTGGTATCTGATTAATAACAGAGCTAGTGGATCACTGCTGTTGTTCCTTTGTTTTAGTTTATATTGATTTTATTTGTGCTTACTAACAGCTATAATTCCAAATGCAGTTGAGTAAAATACCCATATCACAACCGAATCAAATAAATAGGAGCGCAAATTCTGTAAGCTGCTTAAAAAAATACAAAGTACAGTCATAAAAACATATTTAAGGGTTAGCAGATAGTGTTCAGTTCAAAGTGCAGCTTTGTTCCTTTCCCTCTGGTTTAGAAGAATAATGATGGGCGGAACCAGTGACGTTTCCTGAAGGAACTTGATATTTACAAATTCAAACTAGTTTCTGTTACGCAGAAGAGAAACTTAAACCGGTGTCCCTGAGAGCTGAAATGGAAAAGAGAGAAGTTCAATTACACAAGGACATCTTATCTTGTTCCATTTGTTTGGGGTTTTAAATGATCCAGTGACTATTCTCTGTGGAGACAGCAACTGTATGAACTATTTTAGAGACAACTGGGATGGAGAGGATCAGAGGAGCATCTACAGCTGCCTTCAGTGCAGGAAACAGTTCATACCGAGGCCTGTTATGGAAAAAAAAATCAGTAGAAGATCTAAAGGAGACCAAGTTGCTCCAGCTGATCACTGCTATGCTGGACCTGAAGATCTGGTCATGTGATGTCTGCACTGGGAGGAAGAGGAAAGCTGAAGTCCTGTTTATCCTGCCCTGCTTCCTACTATAGGGATCACCTCCAACCTCACTATGATGCTACACCATTAAAGAGACACAAACTAACAAACCCGTCTAAACAGCTTTAGTATTTCATCTGCTCTTGTCACAATGAGGTGATGAAGATCTTCTGTCGTACTGATCAGCAGTATATCTGTTATCTCAACACCATGGATGAACATAAAGGCCATGAAACAGTCCCAGCTGAAGCAGAAAGGACTGAGAAGCAGAAGGAGCTCCAGGAGAGACGACAACAAATCCAGCAGAGAATCCAGGACCAAGAGAAAGATGTGAAGCTGCTTCAACAGGAGGTGGAGGCCATCAATGGCTCTGCTGATAAAGCAGTGGAGGACAATGAGAAGATCTTCACTGATCTGATCCGTGTCCTTCTGAAAAGAAGCTCTGATGTGAAGCAGCAGATCAGATCCCAGCAGGAAACTGAAATAAGTTGAGTTAAAGATGATCAGCAGAAGCTGGAGCAGGAGATCACTGAGCTATCACTTAGCCAAGGGATAATAAATCAGAGCTCCTCTTTTAAAGTCAAACTAACAAGGATTTTAGGAGCAGGCATGCAGGATCACACAACTCAAGCTTATCCTCCTAAGGATCAAAAATGTAGACAGTCATACACAAAAACTGCAGATTCCTGACAGTAGACTCATTAAAATGGAAATAATGAAAACCAAAATAAATGTAAAAGATGAACAGCGTAAGATTGTTTGAAAACAAGTTCAAATGAGAGCAGTGCATTATTACTCTCAGTATTTATTTATTGATGACTCTATTACTTTTTTATTAGTTCAGCTCAATGAACCTGGAGTTTCAGTAGTGAAATAGAAATGTGAGTCAGATTCAGCTGATGGTTTCTGTTCTTTATTAGTTTCAGGCCCTCCGATCTCTGGACTTGTGAAGAAGCAAACAGAAAACAAATGTAGTCAAATATGTCTACTGTTTAGATTAACAGTGGGTGTAACCATTAAATTTGACTGCAGTGACGTGTTTAAGGCAGTGTCAGTACTGAGTATATAAAATTAGCAAATCTCTGTTACTGAGAGGTAAAATGGCTAAGAGAGGAGATCAGCTGGACCGACAGAAAATCTCCTGCTCCATTTGTTTGGATCTACTGAAGAATCCAGTGACTATTCCCTGTGGACACAGCTACTGTATGAACTGTATTAAAGCCCGCTGGGATGGAGAACATCAAAGGAGGATCTACAGCTGCCCTCAATGTAGAGAAACTTCCAGGCAAAGACCTGCACTATCAAAAAACATCTTGTTGTCAAAGTTGGTGATGGATGTAAAGAAAACATCCAGACACCAAGCTGCTGTAGTTAATCACTGCTATGCTGGAGCTGAAGATGTGGCCTGTGATGTCTGCACTGGAAGGAAAAGGAAAGCTGTCAAGTCCTGTTTGTCCTGCCCTGCTTCCTACTGTGAGGATCACCTCCAACCTCACTATGATGCTCCACCATTAAAGAAGCACAAACTAACAAACCCCTCCAAGAGGCTTGAGGAGAACATCTGTTCTCGTCATGATGAGGTGATGAAGATCTTCTGTCGTACTGATCAGCAGTGTATCTGTTATCTCTGCTCAATGGATGAACATAAAGGCCATGAAACAGTCCCAGCTGCAGCAGAAAGGATTGAGAAGCAGAAGGAGCTCCAGGAGAGACGACAACAAATCCAGCAGAGAATCCGGGACCAGGAGAAAGATGTGAAGCTGCTTCAACAGGAGGTGGAGGCCATCAATGGCTCTGCTGATAAAGCAGTGGAGGACAATAAGATCTTCACTGATCTGATCCGTCTACTGCAGAAAAGAAGCTCTGATCTGAAGCAGCAGATCAGATCCCAGCAGGAAACTGAAGTGAGTCGAGTCAAAGAGCTTCAGGAGAAGCTGGAGCAGGAGATCACTGAGCTGAAGAGGAAAGATGCTGAGCTGGAGAAGCTCTCAATCACAGAGGATCACAACCAGTTTCTCCAGAACTACCCCTCACTGTCAGCACTCAGTGAGTCTACACACTCATCCAGCATCAATATTCGTCCTCTGAGATACTTTGAGGATGTGACAACAGCTGTGTCAGAGCTCAGAGAGAAACTACAGGACATCCTGAGAGACACATGGACAAACATCTCAGTGGCAGTATCTGATATGGATGTTTTACTTTTAGAACCAGAACCAAAGACCAGAGCTGGATTCCTAAAATATTCAAGGGAAATCACTCTGGATCCGAAGAGTGCACACATATTGCTGTTATTATCTGAGGGGAACAGGAAAGTAACATTTGGGTTTAAACAACAACGTCTTATTGCTTTTAATCCATCCATAGTTAATGGTTGTTGTCAGGTTATGGGTGGAGAGCATCTGCCTGGACGCTGTTATTGGGAGGTGGAGTGGAGAGGAAGGGCCATACGTCTAGCTGTGTCATCAAATGATAACAGAATAGGAAGCGCAGATGCAAATTTGTTTGGATCGAATACTAATTCCTGGGCATTGCGTTGTGATAAGAATAGTTATACATATATCCACAATAATATGAGAGTTCCAGTATCAGGTCCAGTTTCCTCCAGAATAGGAGGTATATATTGTATATATAATATTGTATATAATATTGTATATTATCTAATTATCTTATTTTAAGAGTAAAACTACTCTTTCCATTGGCAAACTATCTCATTTACCTACTCTAATTAAGGGTAAATACACTTAATTTAAGAAGTTTTTACTTATTTCTAGATAATTTTTCCAGTGTAGGGACTTTGTAGAATCTTAACTTATTGTAACTCACAGTAAAGCTGAACATATAAGAGCACCGTCAGGTTGCAGAACAACTTAGCAGAGATTCTGCAGCTTACCATTAGCAAAAGGCAGAACAGCAGCTTGGCAGCTGGTTTGGGAATCAGAAATGACTCAACAGTGGTCAAAAACACACCTTGGATGAACAGGCCTAGCCAGGACAAAACCATGGTAGTAATTCGGTCGAGGGTGGAGATTACGGTTTCCTTAACCCCTAAAATCAATGAGCAGCAACTGCTGATGCTGGATGCAGACACCTCACCAGCAAAGCTAGGCCGCAGCTCCGGAGTTTCCATCACATGGAACATGATGTTCAGCTGTAACTATTGGGCTCCTTTCATGAATTAGGTCAGATGGAAAAAAGGAAGTATACTGCACTTCCTACCAATTGGTTTTAAAAACCGCTCTCTGGGGTTATGACTTCAGAGGACCGGGCCACAGTTAAAATGTTGAGTGGCAGCAGTTATCAGAAGAATAAATGCACATTTCAAAACCATTATGTTAAATTAAAAATATGTTATGAAAAGCACAATAAACATGTGATTTGTAATTAAAAAGCAGTCCACATCAGAGTGTGACTAAGTAAATTTTTTTTAATCTTTATGTATATATGCATATATAAAGACTGTTAGTCCTAATTACCAATGACAAGGAGAATATATTGTCAATGCCGTTGATTTTTCTGTTTTCAAAATAACTAGAGAAGCTACAAACATATTTTACAGATTTTTTTTATCAGATGTGTTTCTTGTGCCAATGAACAATCTATTCAATTTTGATGATGTTTCAGATAATATTCTGTATAGTTTCTTACAAACCCGGATCCTCTGAATTTGGTTTCCCACCTGATGAACTGTGAACCTGTAACTAATTGAACTGAAGAGTTTCAATTTTTTTTTTTTTTGGGGGGGGGGGGGGGGGGGGGGGGGGGTCTTTGTTTTTTTCCTTTTGAATTATCCTGTTGGAATATATTTGTTTTGTTTATTTGTAAATTATATTGACCATCTAACTTGTGTATGTATATTCTATCAATTCATATCCATATAAATCATATAATATAGCTCATAAACATGTATATGTAACCACTACTTTTTCTATTAGAAAAATAAATATACAACTATTAATCATAATTTTCTTTGTTGTGCTTATTCACCCCCCTCTACTCTGTAGTCGAATCTACTTCCAAGCTCATTTAGCAGTCAGTCAAGCCCCAAGTGTTACATATATGTCCTGTCATATAAAGGGTTATGGTAACTATACGGCTCGTACAGGGATATAAGAAGGTCAGGAGGTCCCTTCACTGACTCCTACAAGTTCACATATTACTGCCAGATCTACCTGTACATCGCATGTCATGGCAACCTCTGAGGTACATCTGCTTGGTTTCAATTTTCTCTTATTCGGAAGGAGCCATAACTGTATTATGTAGTGTTCTGCAGCAATGATGTGAAGCTTTGAGTTATATGAGGTGTGTTGAATGGAATAAAGTTCAGGGGTACACCCTGCCTCATCCAAACACTTCAAAAGAAGCCTCTCTTCCTGTACACTCAGTAATAACTCTACTGGAATTGGTTTTAGCATGTTCTTTTAAACAGTTTTGCCGTGACCCGGATTCAAACCGGGGTTGCTGCGGCCACAACGCAGAGTACTGACCACTATACGATCACGGCTGCCCTCTTCCATGTCTTTACATGCTCTATCTGTTTTCTGCCCTACCTCACTCAGAGACATTGATGCAAAATATTTAGAAATACATGAGGGTATGTCCTTGATCTAGCTACCCACATTCTACTCCTGTAGTTTTAAGGTAATGTTAAACTGGTGACAATGGTTGCTGCAGACACAACACAGTCATATTAAAAAATACTACTAAAAACTCATGGAAAAAACACAGCAACAGTTTTAAAATCTATTGACAAGCACAAACATAATCCCTTAGGACTTTACGAAAAGGGTTCATAAAAGACTGTTGTCATAAAGTGCTTGTTCTCCTACCGCTATCTCTGTGGGTAGTTTGACAAAACTCTTTCCTTCAAGCCGGATTTGAACCAGCGACCTAAGGATAACCTCTATTGCTCTCTACAGTCCTCGCTCTACCAACTGAGCTATCGAAGGCAGAGGGAAGGCACGCCCTCAGAAGTAAGCCCGATCTACACAACATGCGTAGAAGAAACTTTTGCAGGATACCTGTTCCGGAACATCTTGCCAAATTGGGCCCCTACGTTGACAGACCTGAGGTGGCCAACTATAGACTTCGCCACAGTTTTCCTTTAATATTTTAGCCCTCATTATATAAAACTACTTTT